AAATAGGAATAAATCTTACGTTGACCTGTGCATTTTTGCCATTTTACATCCATCAAGACAGAAATTATATAAGATTGAATTATCGTACTCACTTTATCTGTTTATTTAGTAAAATACATAGATTACCGACATATGACCACTTCATGACACACTATTTGAAGGTGAAAGTAGTTCACGTTCTGGTCATTTACGAGGCTTGGCTGTATCATACCTCTCAGCCTGAGTTAATCTCACCGATCTGGAGTGAAACAGACTTATAACCTTTGAATTCATCAGACCAATTGTTTTAACCCCCTGCCTGCCGGCAAAGCGAGAATAAACCCTGCTGAATTCCAGTCATCGCCAGTCTGAAGCATAATTATTTTTTACAAGTATTTTCTGGGACAATATGATTTTTCGATAAAATCCCAGGCAGCCCTAGAATAGCAAATGGTCACTACCTAAAGTCGATAAAGAAACAATACGTTTTTGTCAATGAAACTTTTCGTATCATTTTTGTATGTTTGTGACAGGTGCCATTAATGAGGCAGGATGCGCACATCTTTTCGCGAACACCAAAGTCTTGGTATAATCATTATTTAATAGAGATTCATATGCTCATGATATTATCGGAATCGTCCAATCGACTCTGCTTTTAGCACCAACTGTGATCCCCTTCTCGCGGAACTGTTTCCTTTTGACAGTGAATCGGAATTTCTGGTCGGATTGTCAAAGTCAAAACAAAGGAATTTGGCCTAGAAGTTTAACTAAAGCTTCAGGTAAATCGATGATCTGATATCGTTCAATAACCACCAATCGCCAATTCCCTTTTTACCCACCTGAACTAGAAGTAAGGTGATCAACGAGACAAGACTGTATGACGAGGTATGAGTAAAACTTTTCAATAGTCAACTTTCCTTTTATAGCGAGCAATATTCCAGCAACTCAAGACTTTGGTGCCTACATTTCACAACTTTTGAGGTAAAACACGCGCTTTCCACCATGATTTCAAAGAGCGTCGTATGACTCTCGCTCAAAAGTTGTTTGATCACGTTAAAAACATTGAAGGCCTCAGAAAACTTCCAAAAGGTTGTATGGTAGACACGTGGAGCACATCAGTGACAGTGTTTGTGACAAGTGCCACCATTGTTGTTTGTTTGTTGTTAAACGCCGCACTCGGCAATATTCCAGCTATATGACGGCGTTCTGTGAAAAATCGAGTCTGGACCAGACAATCCAGTCATTGACATCATAAGCATCGATCCACGCAATTAGGATCGATGACATGCATCAACCAACTCAGCGAGCCTGACCACCCGATCCCGTTAGTCGCCTCTTACGACGAGCATAGTCGCCTTGCCACTGGTGAGATCAGGATACCCTCACCTTGTCGCGAACATCTGGCATCATCCCCTTTCGTTAGTGGTCACAAACACACGTTCATGATGTAGTCGGAATCGTACAATTGGCTCTGCTTTTAGCAGAGATTTCTTATGAATATGGAAAGTGTTTTGTCGCATTTATTATCATGTTTAAAAATATGGAAAGTTTTGGGTGTTTTGTACTTGAAATTATCAATGGCAGTCTGCGTGTAAGAAGGAACGTATTGACGATGAAGACAACAAAAGTTTTGCGAACATTCTTTATTCAGGACATATTCTTATATTGATAACATGGGAACATTTGTAAGAAAAGTAGAACGCTATTAAAATATGACGTAAGGCATCGACGACTTAATATTGTTTCTCCTTAACTACATCATAGAGACGACATCCAGTGAACGATATTATGTTGCTTTTTCAAAACTGATGCAACAGTATATGCGTCCTAGTATTTCGGGAACGTATAACAACTTTTTAAACAAACAGTCCCGGTCCCTCAATCGTCGGGCACTAAATATGAAAAATATTATAAATTAATATCCTCAAATGCATATGGATGCCTGAAATAATTTCAAATCGCATTCAGTTATGTAATTCTGATGTATTCTTAATTGATAGATACACATATTCAAACAGTGGTTATGTAGTAATGATTGTTCACAAATTCTCTAAAATACAACAATTATAACTACAAGAATTAGGAATATAGATGTGTTCCTGTACTTCTAAGCTTTATGACATCAAAATATAACGTGCACACAGAGTGTCAGATACACGAGAAAATACGTCATTTGAACATTCTTGGTTTGTTGTTTAACGCCGCACACAGCAATATTCCAGCTATACGACGGCGGTCTGTAAATAATCGAGTTTGGACCAGACAATCCAGTGATTAATGTCATGAGCATCGATCCACGCAATTGGGATCGATGGCATGCATCAACCAAGTCAGCGAGCCTGACCACCCAATCCCGTTAGTCGCCTTTTACGACAAGCATAGTCACCTTTTACGGCAAGCATGGGTTGCTGAAGACCTATTCTACCCCAGAATCATCTGAACATTCATACAATAGTCGCCTACAGAAAGGTTACGGGTTGATATCAAAGACGAAGGTTCAGTACCGCCAAAGAATCCAAGTTTGCATACAGTGAACAAGTAATAAACATAAGGCACTGTGCGGTAGCGAGCAATCTAAAAGTTTTCTTTTCCAGCTTGTTATTTGAAAAAAAACACAATCTGGTATGATTTGTACTATCACTATAGTGCAAAAGCGACAGTTCCCTTACATTACATTAAAAAACGATCATAGTTAAAATTGTCAACGACATAAAATAAACAGTCTCGATTATCTGCCGAAACATATTCCACAGTGCGTAAAAGGCAAAACAGTAATGAAAATTACATGAATTGATCATTGAAAATCAGTGATAAAACCGGTGTTCGCGAAAAGCGTAAGCACCCGCCACTCATACAATATTCACAAACAAGTCAGTATTTGTTTGATGCCTAACACCGCGACGAGCAATACTCCCACCACACCAGTCAATCGCCACTCATACAATATTCACAAACAAGTCAGTACTTGTTTGATGCCTAACACCGCGACGAGCAATACTCCCACCACACCAGTCAATCGAATCTGGATCAGATAGTCTCGTATCGTGAGCAATGATCTACCTCGTTGGGATACGGTGCCACGCTGTCAACCAGGTCAGCAAGCATGATCACCATATACATTAAAGTGAGTGAGTGAGAGTATAGTTTTACGCCGCTTTTAGCAATATTCCAGCAATATCAAGGCGGGGGACACCAGAAGTGGGCTTCACACATTGTACCCATGTCGGGAATCGAACCCGGGTCTTGGGCGTGACGAGCGAACTTTTTAACCACTAGGCTACCCGACCGCCCTTATACATTAAAATAAGTATCAATGAGCAAAGCGGTGTGTAAACTATCTGTAACGGGCATAGCATGGGATAGCATCGCGAAAGACGTTTCAGAGCTGTGGAGGACATCTATAATGTTTAAACCGTTACGTTCATAATGAACAGTTGGGACAGTCATCACTTGCAATTTTAGCTTGTTAAATGTCAGCATATGACAAAATCAACGTTATTTATTTCAAAGACTAGGCTGCGTTATTGTCTCAACTACACGCCTTTCTATATACCACTCAGCGTTGACACTGTACCTTTCCGGTAAAATTACAACTTTACGTATTCAAAATGGTCATATTTCGATCACATGGCATACACTGTACATGTAAGCATCATCGATCCCAATTGCGTTGATCGATGCTCATGATATCAATCACTGAATTGTCTGGTCCAGACTCGATTATTTACCGACCGCCGTCATATAGCTGAAATATTGCTGAGTGCGGCGTTAAACAACAAACCAACCAACCAACATGTTAGCAGTTCAGGGAGCCATTTGCGAATCAAACCTTGATACTTATATACTATGTTTATGGATTGTGTTTTGTATTTTGATTAAAATCTACTTTTCACTCAGTCCACACATTACAAACACAAACCAACGAAATTAGCATATCTAGACGAATGTCTAGCAACGTATATGACAACTCATAACTCATTACGCTATTTGCAAGTTGATCAAGAAACAGTACAGTGTCATAGGTAGAATGTCTGTTTTTCTGTTACGATTGGACCGCCTCCGTGGACAAGTGGTAGAGCGTCCCCCGGAGAGCGGAAGGTCCGGTGTTCGATCCCCGGCCGCGTCACACCAAAAGACGTTAAAAGGTGGAACTTGTTGTTACACCCTGTCTGGCGCTCGGCATTAAGGGGTTGAAACAAGGACTGGTCGGCTCCGAGTCAGTATTCTGTGTCTAAGTGGGTTATTCATGTTAAACTGCGGCATGGTATCTCAGTGGGTTAGCACTATAAATAGGCATCAGTCCGGAATAGTACAAGCAGCCCCCCCCCCCCCCACCCCCCCCCCCCCCCCCCACCCCACCCCACCCACCCCCCCACCCCACAAACACACACACACACTCGTGCATATTAACCTCTACCGATATAGGTATGTTCAAACATTATTTTCACCTGTTCTCTGGTAAGGCTTTACAAACCATGCAACTCCATTATGAAAAGATCCTGTCATACCACAAATTACTTTTCACAAAAAAGTTCCCGAACATGGGATTCGGGCTGACTTGTGGATCTGAAGTTGTTGTTTTTCTCTCTGTGACCTTCCAGATCAGGATGAAAGGAGATACTACTTAACGTCCAGTTTGTGTTTATTAACTCCAGCCTATATTTGTTCTTTGTAAACGTCCAAGGCTTGTACCCAGTCGTCTAAGCTGACACGCCGCGATGTAACTGGAATACTGTTAAAAGCGGCGATAAATCAAACTCACTCACTACAAGATGTGTATCACTACAGGCTTTCCTCTGTCATCAAGTTTACCCACTGTGACATTACTGAAATACTGTCTAATGTATTTCATGATATAGTATATGAATATAAAATGAATTAATTCACACTATTACAACAACAAAGTAGTTGATTTAAAATAACAAGTTTGAGTACAATGTTCCCCTAAACATTAATCGAGTTACGTGTCAGGACAAATGTATTGTAATCATGTGAATGTTTCAGAACATCGTTCCCCTCCCAGATAATCATCTACGTTATGCACTACAGTTATTATGTGGACTTTATAGTGTCCATGTTCCAAATCAACGATATCTAAGTCCGAATCTCCCTCACCGCAATCAGAGTTTTAACCGGTGGGGTCTTGTGTGTCAGCAACGTCTTCAGGACCGCAGTGACATCCATCAGCACGATGACCACACCAACTGTAACAAGCAAGGCTACTCCCAACACAGACCCAACAACACGGGCGGACGGGCGATCATCAACAGCCGAGGTAAGGCGACGTCTGTAGCTCGAAAGGTTATGTCGATCAACTCGCAGTTTTGACTGATTAATGGCAGGTGCTTGAGCGTTATTGGCAATGTGAAAAGCAGAACACCGGCAGAGGCCTACAATGAAAGATAACATTATTAGATTATTATCATTGGTTGTATAATCTAAAACATGTCAGATACGTCTTGTGAGCAGTGTGACTCAAGAGTAGAGGGTCGAGTTAGTATAATATCGTTATGTCATTTTTCATAACAAAGGACTAGCACATAAGAAGAAATACATCCCTATCTCTCACATGTTCTGGTCATGTCTGGAACCTGTGTCTGTAATACATCTGCTGTTTCATCTCGATGCGAAGTACTTGCGCTGTCTTGAATCTGTGTCTGCGACGGCAATGCAGGTCCCGCTGAAGCATCGTAATGCAAGGTAGTTGCGCTGTCTTGAACCTGTGTCTGCGACGGCAATGCAGGTCCCGCTGAACCATCGTAATGCAAGGTACTGGCGCTGTCTTGAATCTGTGTCGGCGACGGCAATGCAGGTCCCGCTGTGTCAGTTTGGTGCAATATCGGCAAAGATGGTTGTAATTCCGAAGGCGATGTCTCTGGCGACTTTATGCTCCTCGTGTGAAGACCAGATGTTGTTTTTGTATCCACAGCCACTACGGATGCCACTTCATTGACGTCAGACAGGGACGGCGACAACAGCCGCCAGTCCGATGACTGCGTGGGAGCAAGAGAAGATGCTAACCCGACATGACTGCTACTTGATGCATCTGGTGCGCCTTGTGCATCCATACATTCATTCTGAGAGTTCAGCGTGGTACAGATGCTGTTGAGCTGTTTAACATTGTCGGAATACCGAAGAGGCTCATCAGAGGTGTGGACTAGAACATAAACACGGTGAGTTGTAAAACTGTCCCAGAAATTACTCGGAAAAACTATAATGATTCACATTATTCACAAAAATACATTGTTGCAAGATGTTTTTTTAAATACAAAATTTAGTCTCACATCTGGTTTTGCAACCGTTGTTGAACAAAGGACTAATATCAATACAGGCGTCTTTGGATAATGAATGTTAAACATGATGTTTGATTAGGGTTATGTCCGATGCAACTCCCGATTTTGACTTGTACCATATGTTCCCGTGTTTTATCGAGGTGAACGACTGACTTGGCCTTTGTGAGTTGTGCCAGCGGTAAGGCAGGATATGTTCCCCTTTACGGGAACACTTGGTATTATATCTATTTGCTTGTGATTCATAAACACATATACATGTAACAAGAAAACAGCGTTATCATTATCCCCCACGATGAGTGAGTGAGTTTGGTTTAACACCTTTTTTTAACAATATTCCCGTTATACCACGGCGGGTAACCTTAATGTGGTGCAATCCTTGGACACGGGTATGGTGCTGAGAAACCAAGAAACAAAATCAGAGTGAACTGGGTTTGGACCCCACGAGCATAGATTTCAGGTGTGCTCAAGGGACAGAACTCGGCATCCCATAAAGCCTTAAGAAGTGATAAGCACTAGGATGGCTTTAGATGTTATCTGAAAATTTGAGAAAATCTGTTCAGGTTAGAAATTAATTCTAACGAAAGGTCCCTTCGCTGGAATAAATAAATTATGGCACCAATTTTAGAACTCAGTCTTGATATGTATAGATAAGCTGCAAAGTTTCATACATGTAACATCAGTAGTTTTTGAGAAGACACTTATTGAAGACACTTATCACTAAGTAAAAAAGGTTTTGTAAGAAAGTATTTAACGGTTTTTGAGTTACGCTCCGGAAACGAACAGTATGTGCCTGGTAGACATGCAAAGATTTGTAAGAAAGTATTTAACAGTTTTGGAGTTACGCTCCGGACATGAACACCACCCTTATAGAACCTAAGTCCAACTTGTTGCCAGGGAAACGTACAAAATAAAAATTCCTAAAATTCCCAAATAGCAAAAGGCACCAGTTCAGCATCAGTCTGATAGACATGCAAAGATTCGTAGAGATATATTTAACGGTTTCTGTGTTATGCTCCGGAAACGATTTCGGGACGCGCACACACACGCACACACGGACGCACTTCGTTGGGGCGGGGGATAATTATGATGTAGTCGGAATCGTACAATGGACTTTTTGTTGAGATTTCTTATAATTATGGAAATGGTTTGGTAGCTTATATTTGACCTACAGTCGTAACATTTCTTGACGGCAGTGATGGAGTTCCGGTCAGAACTGGTTGTTGGAGAATCAGAAATGTAGATACATGTCTGCTGGAGCAGCAAACACGTGTCAGTCCTTTTGTCGTGGGAGAAGGCTGCACATTCCTTCTCCTCAGCATGGTAGGTGAGACAGAAATCACGGCACTCAGTTTGGGTCATAGATCTAGCTGACGTCACATTGGCATTGCCTTTCAGTGTAACGTTATTTAGCACCATAAAGGTACAACTTCCTTTCAAAAAGAACAAAAAAGTACATATTAAGCTGGGGGCGTTACTAAAAATGAACCTTTAGAATTCACAATTTAATTTCTGCCTGGTAAATTGAGAACAAATGTATGGTTATCGTCGATTATTTGAGAATACAATAGTTTAAAAGGGAGAGAAACTTTTTTACAGAAATATATATGGGCTCAACTTATCTCTCTTCTCTCTTGACAAGTGGTAATATGTGAACACAGGTTTACCATCAAACAACTCATATATCCATCAAATGGTTCAACATGACATCAATGTAACATCTGGGTTGCTCCCAAATTTCTATAATTAATGGTGTGCATATATTTTAACATGTAACTTGACGTTTACATTGCGATTAACTGAATGTGCATGAACCACTTTGTAGCTATGCAGGCCAGTTTTGCTGGAAACAAATCTCCTTACACAAGCCATGCATACCAGGCTTCCTGGAGAACTCAATTCTGCACAGCGAATTGCGGCGCCGTAGACGACTGGGACACCCGTATGGTCCAGACTCGATTATTTACAGACGTCACACAGTTGGAATATTGCTGAGTGCGGCGTTTAAAAAAACAAACATGAAACAAAATATATCCCATACTGGAGATATCTATATATATCCACTGGGCATATATATCCTCCTTTGTATATCTTTTCTGGAATCCAGTATATGGAATCTATAATCGTATTGCCAATCCACCGTAAGAGGCGACTAACGGGATCGGGTGGTCAGGCTTGCTGACTTGGTTGATGCATGTCATCGATCCCAATTGCGTGGATCGATTCTCATGATGCCAATCACTGGATTGTCTGGTCCAGACTCGATTATTTACAGACCGCCGTCATATAGCTGGAATATTGCTGTGTGCGGCGTTAAACAAGAAACAAACAAAAACAACAACATTGCCAATCCGTAGCTATAAATAAATAAAATCGTAAATAGCTATTCCATTTGGATTCACTTGCCTTCACATTTCTCACAGATGAAACTAATCCTCCTCGTGCAAGGTGTGGTCCACCATAACCATTTGTGCACACGCAGGCAATGACTGTTAAGTAGATCATCCGGTTCGACTGGGTGCCAAGGCCAACTAGCTGACTGGTCAGCAGAAGTACATCCGGTCCACGTGTACTTCATTTCGGGCGGAGACCAGTCATACACACCAATCCAAACAGGTTTTCTTAAAATGATAACGTGTTAAGAAGCACTTTCAATAATTGAGTGATTTAGTTACATCGTTGCTTTGGGGTTTCAAGTGTATCACGGCTTGTCAGCTTAATGTAGCTGGAAAGCCAAAGCGAGCACACGTTTAGCAGACAGACATAATTTATTCTGTTCTGAGCCACTAAAACAGGCGACTATGCTGGTCGTAAAAGGCGACTAACGGGATCGGGTGGTCAGTCTGCTGACTTGGTTGATGCATGTCATCGATCCCAATTGCGTGGATCGATGCTCATGATATTAATCACTGGATTGTCTGGTCGAGACTCGATTATTTACAGACCGCCGTCATATAGCTGGAATATTGCTGAGACCAGCGTTAAACAACAAACAAACAAACATATTTGCAATACTCTAAGCTGATGGATGCAACAAATTGACGACTGAATCCATCGAAATAGCAGAAAACGTTAACATGTAAAATTATTTTGTTTATATTTTCAAACGAGTAGGCCTACTGGTAGGTTTCCTAGCACAGGGTTGGGTTTCACACATGAATATATCGGTTGGACCGTTTATATAAGTGACTTAGACAATTTGTCTAATGATTGTTAATGGTATGGTGAATTAAGAGATGTTAGTATCGTAGCTGGGTGTGAAATATGTGTGATGTGACAGGCATCTCGGCAGACGCGGGGAGTGCGGCGTTAAACAACAAACAAACAAACAAACAAAAACTAAAACAGGATGGGATATATAACTAAATGTACATGCTGGAGTACTATACACGTCATGTTACAAATCAATAATAGATGTTTGGCGTCTGACGGGGTATTCACACGGTACAACCAGTGTTATACATTTTTGCATGCAACACATGGCATCGCGTGAACAGACTGGTCGGACTAACTTTTAACGTGTTCATCTTGATGGACGAAACAGGACATGCTCTATTTTCATGCAATACGTTTTACGCACGCAGCCAATCAAAACGCGTTTCAAAATCACGTGATATTCGTAAATACAAATAGCGACTCCGGTTCACGTCGGTAACTTCTGCTTTTTTGTATCCTGAGTGTCACCATTCAATAAAGGACCTTTGGAAAGTAGGTACGTAGAATGACCTTGTAACAAATTATAAATTTTGACATTTCCATCGGTCTTATTCTCCAGGTTAAACTTTTCATTGTTTTACTTAAAACGGTAGGCTATGTGACTGTACACTACAGACTGAGATAAGGTTAGGTCCAAAATACGCTAAAAAAACCTCTCAATACATATCGCATATATATTGTTACTATTTTGTGTTACCGATTTCAACGTTTTATTAATTTGGATAAAACGTAAAGTATTTCAACTGGCCATGGAAAGTTTTCATGATTTTTGAGGGACATTCTTTCGTATTATTACCAAATTTGAAATATACTCACACGCTAAAGAAACTCAAGTCGAGTATGCAGTAATCATGTTATCTATTTTCAACAGTAAAGACAAGAAATACTTATTGGGCAAGATTGACAAAAAATTGACTGAAGACAGTTTAATGGATTAAAAGGCAGATGACATAATTGTTTTTTATAAATGTTAAGGGCTTACACAGTTTCGGGTCAATACCCAAAATGTCAGTCAATACCTGGTGTGACCATCATTTGCATTGATCACTGCCACACATCTCCTGTACATTGAGTGGATCAGACGATTTGTGAAGGCCCTAGGGATCCTCCTGCACACATCTAGAGCAGCTTTGCGTAGTTCATCGGCAGTTGTGGGGACTGGGCGCACATTGTGCAGACGCCTTTGATCCTCATCCCACAAGTGTTCGATGGGGTTCACATCAGGGCTGAGGGCTGGCCACGGTAGAACACGGATGTTGTGTTGTTGCAGAAAGGCCATGGTAGCTCTGGCAACATGGGGACGAGCGTTGTCCTGCTGGAAAATGTGTTGTTGATGTTGTGCAAAAAATGGAACAACGTGGGGTCTGATCACTTGGTCGATATACCGCTGAGCAGTGACGCCGTGTCCCCGACCTTGACCAACATTCAGAAAGCACATGGGTCCAAGTCTCGCATTAAGTCCAATCCCTGCCCATATCATGACGCTAGGTCCACCCCATGGATCCCTTTCCACAACGTTTCTGTCAGCGATACGATCACCTCGACGCCGCCAAGTTCTGACTCTACCGTCTGCATGGGAGACACAAAAGCGACTTTCATCAGAGAAGATGACACGCCTCCACTCACGATGACGCCAATTGTGATGACCCTGTGACCACTGAAGTCGTGCTTGTCGATGCCGTGGTTGGAGAACAGGACGACGTGCTGGTCGGCAACATCTGAGGTTGTTGGAACGGAGACGTCGGATCACAGTGTCGATTATGTGTTCCTATGGTCTGTCGAGCACTTTCAATTGCAATTAGGAACGGATGTCGCTGTTGTTGACGGGTAATCTGCCGATTTTGTCGAGGTGTGGTGACCTAAGGACGACCGCTCCGATGAAGGTCATCTGTGGTCTGTATCGATGCAGGAGATGGTAAATTGTGGTTATGTTAACGTTGAAATGACGGGCAACATCTTGGACAGACTCTCCAGCTTCCAAACGTCCGATACCCTGGTTTCTCTGAATTTGAGTTAGGCGTGGCATTGTTGACCAAGGAGTGGTAGGTCCAAGATTGGTTTGGTTGGTTGGTTGGTTGTTTTACGCCGCACTCAGCAATATTCCAGCTATATGACGGCGGTCTGTAAATAATCGATCCACGCAATTGGGATCGATGACATGCATCAACAAAGTCAGCGAGCCTGACCACCCGAACGTCGCCTTTTACGACAAGCATAGTCACCTGCTACGGCAAGCATGGGTTGCTGAAGACCTACGTAGGTCCAAGAATTGGCTACCGGGTTTATACCCACTACAGTTGGTGAGAGTTCGTGCATTTTCGATTTCGCGAGAAATGGGTGCATGCACAGGAGTCCGTATCTGAAAATAGACGCCCTCATGCATATTCATGACCATGAATATGCATGAGGGCTTCTATTTTTAGAGACGGACTCCTGTGGTGCATGATACCCACATATTTAATGAAATGGCGCGTTTTGGCGATTCGTTTTTTATGTTGCGTTTTTACTCGGGGCTTCCAAAATGCAACCAAAAATATTGATAACACCATCAGGCTTCAGTGCATGCAAAAACTCGTATCAACATTTAATACGGTCCAGATTTGTTGTTTGTTTGTTTGTTGTTTAACGCCGCACTCAGCAATATTCCAGCTATATGACGGCGGTCTGTAAAATAATCGAGTCTTGAACAGACAATCCAGTGATTGACATCATGAGCACCGATCCACGCAATTGGGATTGATCACATGCATCAACCAAGTCAGCAAGCCTGACCATCTGACCCCGTTAGTCGCATTTTACGACAAGCATAGTCACCTTTTACGGCAAGTATGGGTTCCTGAAGACCTATTCTATCCCGGAATCTAGTGCCAGACTAGATTATTTTACAGACCGCCGTCATATAGCTGGAATATTGCGGAATGCGGCGTGAAACAACAAACAAACAAACATTAAACAAAATATAAGTGAGTGGTTGAGTACTTTTTAGTTTTATGGCGGCTTCCGTCATTTTCAAGCACTATTCCAGCCTTGATACCAACGAAATGGTATCTCACATTGTATGTGACGTTGTGATGCGCAACTATCAAACCACACCTTTAAAGAGATGACAGTCGGTCTTTGAGAAGAATTGCGCGGAAGAAGTACAT